TACTAACAGAGTATGAACTTACTGACCATTGTCATGTACCTGCAGGGGTGGTATGTGGACATCAGTGACCTGTCCGGATAAGGTGGCCAGTATAGAATAAGAGTGTCGGCCAAGAGGGAAAATGGCACTTCACAAAACGATGTCATTTGATATGAGAGCTGTTACTTAAGGGATATTAAGAATGGCAGTTTTTCCCTATCTATATCTCTTACTCTGAATCATCAATAACAAATCTCACCAGGGAAACAGAACTTGGGAAATTTTGCGGATATCACCATTTACCCCAACATGCTGAAACTGCTCACTGGATGAGGATTGCACTACTTGTGTAAATGTCATTGTTTAAATTACCTACTCCCAGGATCAAGGGCATTTCACTCAAATTCAACACAAGCTCACCTTCGTATTTGCAAAGCGAATTGTTACTGTTTTCTCCTAAAAATTCACATTGTATGCAATGTGTGGTGCAGGTGAAGCTTCTGGCAGCACAGTTATACATGGGATAATTTCCTACCTGACAGTCTCATTACCCATTTCTGTCCCAGATCACCTGGCAGTCCCTGTGATATATTAAAATACAAGTGCTGACGGCAGAATACTGTGTGGTGAATGTTAGAATTAAAAACACTGATTACCGTAAAAGCCACATGGCCACGTATATCCTCAGAATGCTCCCCTCCCTGCAGACACATTTATCCCGCTGTTTCTGCCACTTTCTGAAGCAGGCCTGGAAGGCACATTTCATTAGTGTCTTTGGAAGAGTGACCAAGGACATGGTGAAGGCCGCTGCCAAATGCCACCCCAGGCCAGGTGGGCTGTTGAAACACTGTGCTGCATCCTCATCCGCCGCATGTACCGATCTGGCATGTGACCTCTGGTCCTTTCCCAAAGTCAAGGGACTATGAAGAGCAAAGGTGTTGAATCAATTCAGGACATCGAGGCACCCTGGACCGTGCAACTAAAGACCCTCAGGAAAGAGGACTCCAGCTGCTTCAGAAAGTGGCAGAGATGATGGGATAAATGTATTCGGAGCTGGGGAAATGTTGAGAAGGGAATGAGTGGTGGTGATGTGTCTTTTATGATAATAATTTTGAAAATTTAAACACATGCTGTATTTTTATCACACCTCATACTTCTATTTTTATAGGAATATGTTGGGAAAAAACAACTACTTTTGTGAGTTATTAGTCATTTTCTGCTGATTATTTTAAAAAAGCAGAGCCACAGGTCCCAATCCAACTGTCACTGGGGCCACGATGTCTCTGGTGGAAAGCTGCTGGGCTACTGAATTTGATGACTGCAGGGACCACCAGTTCCGGCAGTGCATGAGGAAACCTGGAAGAAAAGTCAGGTGACTTTTTTGGTAGTTGGAATTGGTGCTAAAGGGATTGAACACGTGGTAGATAAAACTAATCAGCAGGAAACGTGATTGTGAGTGACGAGCTACAACACAGAGACTTCAGTTTTTGATGATCACATTTATGAAAAAGTAGAATTACAACCTGGAAAGCACCTGTTGAGGCCCCTTCATGTGACGCGAAGGGAAGAGAAAGACCCGAGAGCAGCCTGGGGGCACAGAGGACCAGAGGCAGAGCTGTTACAGGAATTTGCATGTCTGACTCCCAAAACAAGCAGAGCCTGGGGGTTAGCACCACTACTTAAGAAAAATTAGCAGAAATAGAAACAGTCACCTCTGTCCTGCCACACACACAGAGATTTGTGCAGGACCTCTGCTCCATGCCTGTTGGCACAGGCGGCTCCTGCTGTGCGCCCCAGTGTCATCCGTGCTGCCAGCACCCCCACTGATTCTGAAGAGAAGGCCAGGGGAGAAAATTCTGGTTAGAGTTAACTGTGTTCTTGTCCTTCCTTCCAAGCTCTGTCATCTCACACTGCAGGTCTCAGTTCCATCAGTCTGCTACTGGGACTGATTTAAAAGTAGAGAATTGTTGTTTCTAAGTACTTCACCCAAGATCGAGGAGGGACAGTCTCCTTTGAAGGTACTCACTTCCTTAGGCTTAGGCTTGCACTTTCATTGTTATGGTTATTGCTGTTGTTTGCTATTTCTGGAGAAATGCAGCAAATTTTAGGTGTCTCGTTATTGTACTGTTGTCCCTCTCCTGCGGGCCACATCCAGGACCCTGGGGGACGCTGGCACCCCAGGGTGGTAGACACCCTGGGTGTACTAGGGTTGTTCCTACTCGGACCAACCTGTGACAAAGCTTAGTTTACCTATTAGGCACAGTAAGATTAAATCATGATAACATAGGACAATTATAAAAACAGAAAGTGACTTAAGACATACAAATCCTTACTTCTGAAATTTTCCATTTTATATTTTTAGACTGTGCTTGACCATCAGTGGCTGAAGCTGCAGACAGTGAAGCCACTGTGAATCTCACTGGGAAAGCATTTGTCCAGGGAGCCAGCCAGGTCCTTTAGTCTTCTTAATATTTTCTCCATGTTGACCACATTGGCAAGGGAGAATGATATCCCCTTACCATGTAGAGCATGCTTAATGGCTTTAAAAGAATTCCCCAGCAGCTAAGTAATGAACTGCCAGAAACCCACTGGGTTCCAAGGCTCTGGACACATCTGTTCGTTTATCGTGTGTTTCATGGTCTTCGTGCCTAAGCGCTCACAAAAGACTGTGAAAATCTAAGCCTCCAGGGCCTTTGAGGGTCCGGGGCGGGGACTGCATTTTAATATCCAGCCTCACTGCTCGCGTGTGAGGGTGGCTAGGAAAGCCCCAACAGCAGGAAACGATGAGCGTGAGGTGCTGAAATTACTGATGAAGTCTGTTTCTGGTGGATGGAAAACAGGTAGCAGTGGGGGGTCACCCCAGAGACCCCCAGTCCATCCTGCATTGGAAATTCCTCCGCTCAGAAATGGAAGATGGGCCTGTTTTACTCCGTGTCCATGGCCACAAGTCCAGTAGTTCAGTGTCCCAAATTGGTTCTTTTTAAAATTTTACCCTCAATAGCAAATCACATCTATTAAGAAAAAGGATAAGTCTTTTAGAATTTGGGGAGTATACTGAGATCTGGAAAAACAGTAGAACTACAGAAAACCTCAAGAGATGCTCTGTTTCTTCCCGGGAGTCCAGAATCCGAGAGGATGTTTGGCGAGCTGCTCTGCCTGGCTACCCCCTCCTACCTAACCTTTGGCAGAGGCCTGACCTTCGGCAGAGGACTAGGGCCCTTCCAGCATGGACTGGGTGTGGCCTGGAACCTGAGAAGCTCTGTGTTTGCACCTGGTCACTGTTAACTGCTGGGACTTCAGAGGCAAGATAATTGTCTTGGAGACTCCTGGAGCCAGGGTTCTTCCTGGCCTCCGTGAGACCAAGGCCAGGAGATGCCCTGCGGAGCTGCTTCCCTGGGCCAGGGCCAGCATGCCTGGGAGATGGCGCAGTCTGTCTTGATTCCTGCTCAGCACAGATGCTGGAATGCAGCCGGTCAGAGAGAAGTCAGCAAAAAACTAGGCCTGGCTCTGCTTTAATCTTGTGTGTGTGATTCATATGTGCACTTTTGTTCTTTCTTCCCAATAAAATTATTTAAGACACTGCATCCTGACCTTCCAGTAGAGCTTCAAACATCAGGGCAAAACACCACCTTTAGTCGATCTCTGGGCAGGCTCGGGCTCTCTCGAGGCTAGCTCAGGGTCCAGGGTTGCCTCCTCTGCTATGATGGGGAGGCTGAAAGCCCCTAAAGATAAAGCCTTGCACAGAATTCAAAAGCAAGAAATATAAGCATGATCCAGTTTGTTGTGCCCAAGGAAAGAAACAGAGCTGCCTCTGCAGATTTGTGCTGCCACTACCAGCTGGCTGACCTGTCTTTTACAGAGAGGCAGCAGTGAGCCGTGAAACTGAAGTGGACAGCAGCTTGGGCACAGCACAGCTGGTGACTTCAGGGCAAGTGGGAAATTGTTTGTAGTTGTTACACAGGGAGGGTGTAAAACTGTGGATTAGCTCAAACACTGAACTCCTGCAAATGCAGAGATTTTATGAAAATGCTTTTTGATAAAAATGAGCACATTTCTCTATGTCAAGTACCGAGAAAATTATTATATATCTATCATGTGGAGAAGAAATATTATACGGATAAAGTGAGGGCTGGAGATGATGAACCTTTCGGAGATGAACACCCAAACTGCAACCCAAACCCTACTTATTTATCACAAAGCGCCAGCACTGCAATTAAACCTGAATACAGAGGTTTTAGTTTAGAAAAAAACAACTCATACTTCAACATTTTAAGTCTTGAAAGAGAAACATAATAACGTGCATGCCATGGGTTCACCACCACTGACATAGGCAATCTTTTTATACCCACCTGTGATATCACATTCTCCTGTGATATGGGTATATTACTTGTGTGACTTAAAATAGCATTCTTATGTTCTTCTGATTAAAAATAACTTAAATTTTTACAAAAAGATACATTAACCCTATGCTCCAACATTGGTAAGAGAGCATGATGCTGCATGAGTTGGCACTTCAGAGGGTCCCCTGGATGTCAGTGTACTGACTGCTGGGATCCCAGACCTATCATGTGCTATTTCATTGTTTTTAACACAAGAGTTTTACAGGTCTGATTAGAGCCTTCGATATTTAGGGCATGATTGTATGCAAGCTTTTCATTCACTCTAACCTCATTTGGTTACATTTACTTGGGTTCCATTTGTGGAATCTAGAAAAGCTTATGCTATGAAAGGAGACAGCAGGATGGTGGGCACCAGAGTGGGAACAGTGGGCAGGAGGGTGATCCCTGGGCATCAGATGGCTGTTTTATAGAAGAAATGGATTCTGATCACGTGCTGCATGGTAGCATGGCTGTACTGATGTACCTCAAAATAACTAGAAGTGAGGACTTGTTTTCACTGCAGGGAATGAGGAATGTTTGCACTGATGAATGTACTAGTTAATCATGACACAGTGTCTCTGTAAGACACAGAAGCACTTTCATGTATGCAGGGAGCTGACTCCATGTCTCCTTCCTTTACAGGCTCCACCTGGGAAAAGACATTTCGGCAGATCGGCTTTGAAAGGTAAGCAGGGCGTGGCGCACTCCACTTTTAGCTACTTTGTCCTGTTTCATTTTGAGTGATGTTTGGTCCTAAGCCGGTGGTCTTGCCACTACTCCTGCACTCTGTCCTTTGGTGCTGTTTTCTGAGTCCCAAGGTCTCGCCAAGTTACAGCTTTACTTTGTAAGATCTTCCCCTGCACTGGATTTTAAAGGTTACCTGGGAAAATTTAGGTGAAAGTGCTTCTTGGACTATGACACAGTATAAACCTCATGTAATAGAGAATTACAGGAATTATAGTTGACGCTTTTTTAGCTTCTTCACCTCAAACAGCATGTAGGTTCTGTGGCAGGGAAATTCCCCTCCTCTTGGTGCTTCTTTTGTGTTATGAAACATGAACAACATACATGAAAGCAATGAGAATAACCAAGTGAATGCCATACATCCACTCCGTACACTGGCAAGACTTGATCATCCTCTTACCTCCTCCTACTTATGCACATCTTGACAAAATAGGGCATTTTCTACCATACCCGTAGTGCCTTTCCTATTCCTAACAGTATGACTCACAGAAGGTCCTTGGGGCCCCCACAACTCACAGGAAGTCCTTACGATCCCGTATTACCCACCCAGCATTTACATCTCCCAGTCATCTCAAAAGTGCCATTTTCCTTGGGCCAAGTCGTCATGCTGCTCAGGCCTACACAGCTCACCCCATTGTTGTGTCTGGCTAGAGCAGTGCCCACCCTACCTTTCCCAGCTCTGTCTGGGTTTTTTTTTTTTTTTGAAGAAGCCAGGTCTGCTGCCTAGTGGAATGTCTTCATTCTGGCTTTGTCTGTCCGTGACAATTCCTAATCTAGCTCTCTAATCTCCAGTGTCATCAAAATTTGAGTGATTCCACCTTGAGCTTCTGGGAACAGCTCTAGGTCTGCTTCCTGCGCGTTTGACACCAACCCCCTGGAGTTCATAGTTTTTGAGTCCGGGCCCAGCGAGCTGGCCAGGCTCACCTGACACCCAGCCTGTTGGTGGGTCAGCCGTGGGGCCCTTTGTGTGTGAGGAAGGATATTAGGGATGCTCGTCCATTGAGGGGGTCATGGCTTCTGGGCTTAATAGAGGGAACTAGGAAATATATTGTACTTTCCATGAGAAATCCTGAATTCCTAGACTATTTCCAGCTCAAGTGTAGTCTTGCAAAGTTTTCAACTTCTCTGATGTGAGATTGTTATCTTTTTTCTCCAAAAATCATAACTCAACAAAACTTACATTTTATTTTAAGTACATATAATGTCTCAAAAAGACTAAGGTAACCACTAATAAAAATGGCTGGGTATGGTTTTAAGCTTTTTGCATTTGTCTAATTTACTGTTCCACCCAGGATGTATGGTACCAATACCAAAAAGTATAGTAATTCATATCTCAGATTTTACATATAATTTGGTTGAATTTTGTCATGATTTCCTTTTGATTGTCTTTGAAGACATCACATTTGTCTGTGTCTCCGTCTGCATCCTACGATGAGATGTTTTCTGAGGAATGCAGGTTCCTATCTTCCCTGTGCTCTGTGTCCCCTTCCCCTGCAATAATCTCGGGTTGGCTTTGGGCTCCACCTCTGATGTTTGTTTCCAGAAGTGGAAGCTAGCACTGGTGCCCCTGGGCCCCAGGCTGAGGCTCTTGGTCCTCTGTGTGCACACTGGGGTGCAGCGACAACCTGTGTGCCTTCAGGTGTGTGCACATACAGGGGACCCTGCACAGCATGGAACCCATGGAGCTTCAGGGCGGTTGGGAGCTTCCAGGGAGGCTTGATGATGCCCCATGGGTCCCAGTTCTCTCTTCCCACCAGATCCCAGCTCTGACCCGAAGCAAGAGGTGAGGATCCGCTCCTCACATCACAGGCAACTTTAACTTTGTGACATCCCCTGTTCTAAAACCAAGATGTGCCAGTGTCTCTTGTGAGGTTCTCCAGGGAGCCACACCTCCTGCGCTGCCCCACGATGGCTATGTACTTGAACTACCCCACTGATGAGGGTTTCCTGCCCAACAGAAGTTGCTGATCTATTTGACCAGTTCTCCGGTTAACGTGTGCAAAGGATGGAACCAGGTTAAGCATGTAGATCACCGGCCTTCTTTCTCAACTGTGTGCTCATGGGGAAAATCGCCCCAGGCCACTGGCTTCACCCCTTCTCCTGTTGGTGCCACACAACCTGCTTAGCTGGGCCATGGAGCTGGACATTTTGGCTGCATCATCTTGGAGGGAAACATGCATCAAAACGAATGGCAGTTGCATTTCTGCCAGGTATCTTAGGCATATTTTCCTGAGTACAAAGAGGTAAATATATGTGGAATTTTGCTAAGTGTTGCCAAATTTCCCTCTGTAGAGTTTCAGCAACTTTCATTCTCACCTACAGTGCTTTAGAGTAAGCCGTCAAACCCACAGCTTTTGAGTTTTTGCCAGCCTGAAAGATAAGAAATAGTGTCCCGATGCCCTTTTAATTTTCTCATGTACCTGGAGTCGTTTCTCCATCACAGACAGAGGAAGGGTCTGCTGCCCTCGGAGTGAAGCACTTTGGGCACGAGCTGCTCCTGCGATGGCCCGGGGACTGTGGATGTGGCGACAGAACTGACAGCTGGCCTGCAGCTTCAGCGCTAATTTCCCTGAATAATGGTTTCATGAACATAGCTACCGTATGCTCACACAGTGTGAGGGCAGTGCTGGGCCACACTCCCCCAGGCAGGGGGATGGCAGAGCTGTAAAGAGATGGCTGGTAAACCCTTAGGGTTGTGCATGTCGTGTAGTCTTTATTGCAACTTTTCAGTTTTTCTGTTGGAGTAGCAGGCAGTCAGAGATAGTGGATGTGGCTGTATTCTAAGAAAACTTATTATGAAAACAGGAAGCTCAGGATTTGGAGGCTGCCAGTGACCCTCACTGCAGACAGTGTCTGCTGGGCAGAAAGACAGGAGGCAGCCAAGCTGGCTGTGCTCAGGCTCCAACCTGCATCCTAAGACCAAGCCTCTGCACTGCGCACAAAGTCTTGAGTTACAGGTCTCTTGTCCTGTGTGTGTCGCGCAGGGACATAGCCTCAAGTTTCAAGTCTATTGACTGTTCTCATTTTCTGACTATTCTGAATAAATCCAGACAGTGTAATGCCCACATTACCCTGCTTTCCTGAAGTCTCAATTGATGCAGCAAAGCAGAAAAGTTGCCACACAAGGTGTCCCCAGGGTGCGGAACAGTCTGCTCACTGCACCCATAGCCTGGCTGTCTGTCTGGAGCTCACACTGCAGGCTTACTTGGCGCATTTGGAAATCTCTGTGTTCTTAAATCATTGTAAAATGCTGTCCGGTTTTCTCACTTAAGGGCAGGCAGCATCCTGTGCACTGCGTCAGAGCAGGTACTGATGCAGGGTACTGCACATCTACAGCTGCAAGGCCTGGGGCAGCAGGGCCGCTGTCTAGGACTTTGCTTTTGCTCCTGGAGTTTAACCTGATCTTTGTCTTAAAGGAATTCCAGGGACATCTCACAGGTCCTTTTGAGCATCCCTAAGTGATACTGATGTCTTCCTTGCTTGTGTGCCTCAATCTGCTGGCTGAGAGGCAACTTTCAAGTGGTCACACTAAGTGGAGAAAAGAATCAACATAGTCAGCTGAAGCTGCAAAGCTTTCTCCAAGAACTGGACAGCAAAGGCGTCTTGCATTGTTCTGTCACAGGAAGGAGGACTCAGGGATCTGCCTGCCCACCCTCCTTGCGGGTGCCTGACGGGACAGTGGAGGACCTTTCCTCCCGTAAGACGCACATGGCCACTTCCCTTCTGGAAGCCCTGCGATTGTGTTCATTGTCTCAGAAGAAACACATCAGCTCAGGGTATTGGCTAAACCCACCATAGGAGGTCAAGGTCCTCTTGGACACAATTGTGTCTCCCCTCTGGGCATGTCAGGAATTTGTCAGGGTTTCCTGAGAAGAGCTGTGAGATAGGTCATGCTTCAAGCGCCTGGAAAATCACCATTGACCTTCACATAGCAAAGGTGCACTCACGGTTTTGTTATTGTTGTCTCTGTCTTTGGGTTTTAGCTAGACATCTCACCTTTCAAGGGAGAGTTCCTAAGTTTGTGGTCGTAAATATTTCCAGGCAATGATCATTTATTAGTCTGTGTTATGGCTATGCCAAGTTAGCATAGCTTTGTATGATTATGACGTGCCGGTGTCCTGAATAAGAGTTATCAGTGAAGGTGGCTGGATGGCCAGTGCCTTCACACAGCAGGCGCTGGTTTCCTGTTCCAGGAGGCTGTGTCTCTGTTTGGCCGAGTCACCCCTTCGGCATTGTGTCTCTGGGCAATGCTTCTGCCTTTTTTCAGGCACCATAAATGTGCCCACCTATGGGTGGCATTTGTCACTAAAGCTCACGGTTCACAGGTGCCTCCCTGTCCTGTGCCCAGGGAGTGACATTGAGCAGGAACATCAGAAAGCTCTCCCAACATCTATCCCAGAGCTCTCCAAACAAGGTCTGAGCCTGGTTTTCTCTTTTTGCTGGGGACATAGCTCAGTGGCACAATGCCCACCTCCCAAGAGCAAGGTCTGAGTTCAGTTTCCAGCACCAAAAACTCTCCTTTTAAAGCTGTGCTTTCCCTTAAGAAAGAACTCCTTCCGCGAGTAATTAGGCTTGAATGCAAAACCGATCAGCGGAAAAGTCCCTGCTTTCTGGGAAATTGCATTGCTGCCTATTTAAAAATAACAGCTGGTTTCTGAGCTCTTGCCTATTTTTACTTAAAAAGCAAAGAAGTGATTCTCAGGGAGTCTGTGTGGTCAGCACAGCTCTTCAGCTTCTGCCGAGGTTCGTGCTCATGTCCGAATCTATATGATACACTACCCAAGGCCACAGGAAGTACTTCACCCCTCAGAGAACTTTTAAGTACAGAGATTCATTCCTGAGAACAGCCATGGCAACTGAAATGTAAGATCTTCCCAGAGGTTCCTGCAGGGCGGACCTCACCCACTCGTGGCTCTGCTCTCCCCTCTCTGTCTGTCTCCA